TTCAACAGGTATACGCTATTTTTGGGGGTCCCCCAATGGGGATCCCCAAAAATAGCACAAGTCACAAGTGTGTGTTTGGCATATGTTGTGGATGTGTCACTGTATGTGTTGCGTTTATGTTTACATGTCCAAGATGTGCCACCCAAAAATCAGGAGCACAATTGCCAAAAACGACTGGCTTAAAGTTGTTTTGGCCAGCACTTGGGAATCTACGTTAATGGGAGGCAAGCTCCTCTCACTCCTGGCGGCACGGCGACGGTCTCTTCAGCATGGGAAAGGCCGCACACGACTCGTTTTCACGCTGATGATGCGCTTGCGAATGAAGATTAGGACTCGCAACAAGGTCACTAACACATATAACGATGATTGTCTTACGAATTATAGATTGAATCATCTGCCCACGAAAGATATCCCATGGCACGCGATGTATACGAGCAATGGCGGTCAGAGCTTCATGTCGACTATGTACTAGTCTCGATGTTGGTTCTTTTGAGCGACTTCTCAAGGTGTTTTCGAATAAGTACATCGTGAAATCCGGAGTATATGTTGTGCACTGGAAGACTTAGATTAACAATTATAGATCGTCGTGGTAGACCATAAAATGACTGTTATGTGGCCTCTTGGCTGGCCCTACACTTTGTTGAACGCTGGGAATCTGCGAAACAGCCGAAAAACTCCACATCACCACATATGTGAGACACGCGACACAAACACATACAGTACTAGTACTTGGTTAGACTTCTCTGAAGTCTCATTAAGTATGTGTAATCCAAACTCAATTAATCTCATTAAGTATGTGTTTGCCTTGTGGGTACACATATGTTCAGCTTGTGTTGTGTTTGCGTTTGTGTTTATGCTACTTTTGGGGGTGCCCCATTGATCAGCCAAATTTTCAAAATTTTCAAACTAAAATATCTCAATTGGTTTTCATGGCATTTCATTGAAACCAACATTTCCGGAAAGCTCTTTCGCGGCATATTCAAATGTATCGATTTAAACAATACTTGGCAGGCCAAAAAAATGTCAAAGTTCGGCACTTTACACAGTCGACCATTGATCGGCCAAAATTTTTAGACTTGAATTAAGTATTGAAAAAAGTTGATTCAATTTTTCGTCCAAAAATTCAAAGACTATGTCTCAAAGGTTTACTATAGTTATTATTTCGACTCGTCGATTTGAAAGTTGGTAAACTATGACATGAGGTTCACCCTTGTCCATAATGTTGAATCTCCAGGACGTCCGGCGAAATTCGACGATAAACGTTTATCGTGTCCGAATAATGCTGGTTTGACGATGTTTATCGTCCCAAACCAAGGTAAAAATGTTTGATCCCATTAAGAGCGTCCCCACCGGCTGATGTAGAAATTTAAAAATCTTCAAAGTACATCACTGTACATCAGCAAAATTTACATTTTTCAGACCCACTCCGGTTGCTAATAAATTTTACATCATGATGTAAGGGCATCCCCACCGGTGCGACTGTATAATCAGACTGTAAAATACCGTTTTACACTTCCTGTATTTTGATTTTTGTCAACCCCAGCGGTAAAACTGTAAAACATCCGAATAATGTTTTTATCCGGAAATGAACGCCTGGCGCGATGGCGTGGGAGGACGACGATGATGACATGGATCAAGCTTGGCTTTCATCAGTCTTCTGCGCGCCCTAAAGGCTCTATTGCCAACCGCCAGCCAAACCTACCACGAGATAGCGAGGCTGCGCATGCTCGGATTTACCTACTACTTTGACCCCAATCCATCTACCGCGAAGCCAAGTTTCGCGGTCATTTTCGAATGGCCAGACCGCTGTTTGAACGAATCATGGACGGTGTGGTGATGCGAGATGAGTACTACCCTTAGACGCATCTTGAGAGATGTTGATCCATGACCGGGCAAGCTGGCAGTCTTCGTCGGTCGTGAAGTTGGTAGCACGGACGGCCTTGGCTGATTCCATTTCTGAACCAACTGATTATTGACTCCATAATATCCATGATAGCATGTTATTGGCTAATTCGTCAAAACTGTATTTTACAGTCGCGACTGTAAATCTGGCCGATTTGCCGTCTCGCGGTAAAATTTTACAGTTTCCTGTATTTTACAGTTGCCCGGTGGGGTTGTCAAAACTGTAAATAATCCGGATAGAACTGTATAATAGCGTTTACAGTCGCACCGGTGGGGATGCTCTAAACGCTCCATAAATACAGATTTCTCAACAGATGTTGGGTCGTTTACAGCTCTATCGATTGAGGTCCCAAAGAACTTCTTCAACGAAGTATGCCAGCCCGACGTCCTGGGGCACGCCAGCAGCATGAATATGAATCTTACAGACAATAGAAGGTATGCCAACCCTGCCGCACTAAATTCTCGACTGGCGAGAGCTCCAAAACCTCAATCGCCAGCGGGCAGCCTACGCGAGTTTGCTCCATCAGGACTACAATTTCCACCAAGCGGTGTGGATTGGCTGTGAAGTGATGTACTACTGTTACAGAATGCACCCAATAAACGGGTCTTTTCAGCTTCATGTTTACATCAGGCGGTGGGGATGCTCTAAGGCCTATTGTAAATACCCTAACAGTAAAGAGCCAAGAGCCAATAATCCAATACCTTTCGAATTCAATGTTTAGGTCTAAAATTGATTTCTACAAACAAATAAAATTTAGGAGGTTTATAAAAACAACTGGAGGATAATTACTGTATGGCAAATAGAAATGATCAAAGGGAGGCTCGAAACATGGACTTTGTCATCTACAACAACCGACACACTAACCATGCACCTTGTTCTACAATCGTATTTAATTGCTATAACGTAGATTTCCAATTTAAGAGACATATTTTCGAGTCGCTGTCGGGAAATGGTAGCAGCTCGGCACTGAGGAATGGGTTTCGACTTCTGAAAACTGATAATTGAACAGGAAACGCAGGTATTTCCAACAAGCACTGAAACATCTATTTTCACAGTATCTATCATTTCCTAATATCCAATTTTCTAAGCAGAAACACATCAAAAGTAGGGGAAAGTTTAAGGGAAATATTTTAAGCTTGATCGTAGTATTGATCTATGCATATATTTTTTGTGGTTAGGGTATTATATTCTGTCAGGTACATATGCAACCTCAACAGGTTATGTATTTATAGAGCCAATTGGTTAATTGATTTATATAAAACACATGGGATCATGAAGAACATTTATTTAAAGAGGTATTTCTACACAAATTTCAAGGTGGGTGATTGGCTGCCCTTAAATTGTCCCATGTCTCTTAAATTGGATATCTACGTTAGTACAAGATTCGTGGCAACCAATGCAAACTGGGGACACCTACATAGTGGTGTATGACCGTGCTGTGGAAGTTAGTAAGCTCACATATATAGAGTAGAGAGGTTTCGCAACTCATCTTTACATTACCCTCATCATCACATTATCGACAAATGTCGTTTTCAGGACAATGATAATGACAAAATAATTTACGTTTCGCAACTTATCCTCATCTGTGTCATTGCATTGCTTCCGGTTAAAGAAGTTATTCGGATGCACGCTGTGCTGGACGGCTTGGCACCTCACGTTGTCAATCATGCAGACATACTGCATGACTAGTGCCTTACGCTGCTTGTGTCCCATTTTAGGACCCACGCCCTTGGGAGTTTTCCGTGCTCTTTTGCTCAGAAGTCCTTTCACAAGTCTCATTAGTGATGTGCTCAGCACGATGACAAATGCCACAGCTAACGTTGCCGCTATGGGTTCAGGCCCCAGTCAACGTATTTTCTGGAGTTCGAGCTAGCGTTAACAGTAAGAACAAGCGAATGCTAACGCAATAACAATGTGACTGTTTTTTGTGGTGGGTCGTTTAGAAACAGCGCAAGTTCTAATCCATCTAGATGTGTCAAGAGTACAACATTACAGCATACACGTAGCTCTATGAAGTGGCCCCGTCGAGTCTGTTAGCAGCGACACTTGGTGAACAGTCTTCAGTGAATACTTTTCACGAAGTGTCGCTACGAAGACGGGCCCGCTGGCCTTGTACTGCAAATACGCCGACAACTTGAACCACGACGATGCACAGGACGCGGAAGAAAGGTGGTATGTCGTGCTTCGTGCGTTGGACTCCCACTGGATCGAGTGCGAGAACGTGTTCCACTTGTATCGGGCATTCCTCACAGGCTTCATCTGCGACACTGAACGCCTGCGTCAGGTCTAGCTACCTAGGAGAATTGTTGATTCTGTATTTTGAAGGCAGCAACCAGGGGTCGAAAATACGCATATTATATGTATGTTTTAGCTACGCAGTGCACACATAATGCATAATCGTTGCAAAAGACTGAAATACATTATGCATATTATGCAATATATGTGCATTAATGCACATATTTTTACTCAAGCGTTTCGTGGACAGTCGATACGTACCAGTAGCTGCGGCTGCACTGAAGGAAGAAGGTCGCCTCAATCATGATGGGATGGTGTGAAAAACGGTGGAGGCCAATCAAAGCACGCGCCATGCTGAAAAGACGCTCGATTATGTTTGACGGTGGGGTGACAGCACCAAGGAGGACATAGGTGTCAATCTAATCGGCCAGGCGCGCATGTTTCAACGCTCTTTCGGCAAATCCAGCATCTTCGCCCGAGGCATCGTCTGCGCCGTAGTAGTTGCTTCGCAGTGCCAACTTCTCTGGCAGAGTGAGCGTGCAACCACGTTGAAGCTTCGTGACGGCATTTTCAAAATTTGGGTTGCCAACAATATTTGCTGATCCACCTAACATATTCTAAGTGTACTAGATATATTTCATATATAAATCTAAAGGCATGGTAGGAAAATACAGGTATAATTCGAGGACTATTTATTAGTGATCTCAAAAGTCATACAACAACTGAATATATTGTTTGTAGTGGATTATTGCGAGCAGTCATAAAAGTCGGTGTGACGGGTTGAGATTTTCTAAAAACGCGAACAGCACGTGTATCTTGATTTCTGTATTGAAAAATAAAAATTTGCACAATTTATGTTTATTTATTGCAGTTCGCGATTTCGATGCTGTGCGCGATTTCGATTTAGTAGATTCGTGTAACCCCTGCCTTCTTCTTGGGCGTACATGCTCTGGAAGAGGGTACAACGCCATCGCCCAGTCGTTTCGTCGTTCGAGTCAGTGGTAGCAGAAAAGAAGTACCTACTGCACTGCTCGCGAGAACTTGGGCGCGTTTGACTTGCCTGAAAGAAATGTAGACATCATCGAGCGTTTAATGGTGTAAATGATGATTAATAACATCCAACAGAGGCATTACGAACTAACAGCTGTGCTAATGACTGGCTACTAACCGTAAGCAATTTGGTCGGTGGTGTTATTATGTGACAAATTAATTTTTATGCAATGTCATATCGAGTCAAAATACATCATGCATATTTTTTTCAATTCTCGAAAATATATTATGCATAATACCCCTAAATATTTATGTTTTATGCATTATTTTATTTCGACCCCTGGCAGCAACCGCGTGCTGCCCGAGTACTGCGCTTAGAGTCAGTACCACCGAACCCTGCCGACTGGTGCTGCAAGGAAGATGTTGGCCAGCACAACCATCCCCTCACGAAGATCGCGGCTGAACCAAAAAGAACCTGTGAGGACAAAGATGATTGTGCGCGATGTATCGATAGAACCGCGTGAAATTCGCCGCCAAGCACTTCCCATCCCGAATAAACTCACATCAACTATGCAGTTCACGTGGGAAACCTTTTACCTACCAGTAGTCTTACCGGTAGTCGGTGTTGACGCTACTTGTGAAGTGTTCGTAGCCAAGCTACCTCGCTTTTGAGGTCCACCGTGCATAGCTTCCGCAATTTTCGATCAGTCCCGCGACTGCAGTACCGACTCAAACCACTATGCACTCCACCAAGTATGCTATTTAGATTTTCGTCCGCGCGTTGTTCCATTCATTATCTACGCAAGATGTGCGTATACACGGTATACATAATTATTACTACGTGGCAATTTCAATCAATAATGTTTCGAATGCTGTCAGCAACATATCTACCAGGTAAACTAGGAGTGCGTGACACACAATTCTAACGCTGTAGTCGTAATTCTTGACAATCATCGCCGCATCTACCATACTGTGGGAAGTATTTGATGCCCCCGAGTTGGTTGGCAATCTTTCTGAGCTTTCTCGGACGAGTAATTTATTGGGCTATATAAACGAACACACCCTACATGCAGTCAAATCCGATGGTTTCAATTCTGAGACCTCTTACGTAACTACTAGTGCAACATAGCATACCAGTATTTCGAAACGTTTACCAAGTGCAGCTTTGCAAGTGCAACTTGAGGATAACGTTAACTGATAACTACTTGACAAATCTAATAGAAACTAGTAGATGGTACAGAATTGTAAACAGTACTGTACTTGTGGCATACTTTCTGATTTCGAGCAAGATCCAGATAAAACATGCTTACCTTTGGGTACAGGAGGGACAGCATTGCGTTGGAGACGCGGTCTGCATGGAGACAGACATGTCACGTTAGAGTCACCCACGAAAGTGGAGGACAGGAATTAGCAGGAAACATAAAAAAATATGGAGACGAAGTATGTTCGAGATGCAGCCTACATGGAGACATGCTACGGTGTGCCAAGTTGGAGTCACCTATGGACACTGTTCAAGTGGGGGCACGAAAACAATTATTCGCACGTGGAAAATATTACTTTTGCACGTGGCTTGAAATTCCACCTCGTCAGCACAAAACCCCCCTCGTTTAACGTGCAGGATTAATTCAAAAATCACGTTGTTTATCGTGTCAAATTAAGGAGTTACAGTTAGCACAATATCTTGGATAGATTCACAATTATGGGTATCATACACAATATCTTCGATAGATTCACCATGTGTACGGAAACGATACAATAAAATAGAGCAATTCAAACTTTTAGGGCATTTAGTCAATAGGGATAAAAGATGATCTGGACGAAAATTGACCATGCATGCAGCCACCATGACGACCGCATACACAGAGAGTTCGTCCATTTATCACCACTACCAGTGTGAATTAAAGTTTCTGCCTCCGATTTGAATACAGTTTTCATCAACTGGTGGTGATACCGGTACAATTGTAGGACAAACTCAACCTTCAATGCTATACAGCAAACTCGTAAATGATAAAAGTACTTCAAGGTAAAAATGACGTCATAGCCGGCATTTGAACCCGCAACCTCGTGCATGAAAGCTCCAATCTTTACCGTCAGGCTATGCTGACATGTTATTTTCATATTGTGGTCATCATAATATATAGTTTCGTCACAATATCCTATGACACCCAGAATTGGAAAGGTCGCCCAAACATGGCAGCTAACCTTGCCAACTTCCAACGAGGCAGCAACGTCCAAGACATGCTCTGTGTGTTGCTGCGTGATACAATAGCGCACACAGCTTTGCGCGGACGTTGCTGCCATCCCGAATAAACTCACATCAGCTATGTAGTGCACGTTGGGAACCTTCTACGTACCAGTAGTCTTACCGGTAGTCGGTGTTGACGCTACTTGACGTGAAGTTTCGTAGCCAAGCTACCTCGCCCTTGATGTCCACCATCTGAGGCCCACCATGCATAGCTACCGTAATTTTCAAGCAGTCCCGCTACTATGCACTCCACCAAGTATGCTAGTTAGATTTTCGTCCGTCCGTTGTTCCATTTCTTATCTACGCAAGATGTGCGTATTGGTAACGTCTCGACCAAGGTATACACAATTCTTACGTGGTAATTTCAATCAATAATGTTGGAATGCCGTTAGCAACATTTATACCAGGTAAACTAGTGCAACATTTCTATCACTAGTGCACACACATAATTCTAACGCTGTAGTCGTAATTCTTCTTGACAATCATCGCCGCACCTACCCGTACTGTGGGAAGTATTTGTAGCACCCGAGCTTTTTGGCAATCTTATCTGAGCTTACTCTGACGAGTAATTTTCTGGGTTATATAAACGAACACACCCTCATGTAGTCATATCTGATGGCTACAATTCGTACAATTCGTACAGTAGCATACCAGTATTAGTTTTGCGAAACGTTTAGCACGTGCAACTTGAGGATAACGTTAAGTGTGAATGCTTGACAGCATCAATAAAAACTACCGGTAGTACACAAACCTGCCCTTGTCTACAACTCATTGAGTTCATGGTTAAAAAGGTGCAGCACTACTATTCGAGCACTTTGATAACTTCAAACAGGACAAGTAAAATCTACAGATCACAGGTTGCTTGAATCGTAAAATCTAAATCGAACGTCAACTGTCAAATCTAAATGGTGGCACCGAATCTGAGACCGTTGCAATGCTCAGGACCGTTGCAATGCTCAATAGGAAGCGTAATTGTGGCCACTAAGTATTTGCGCATCGATATCATACCGGTGTACTATCAAGAATAAATTAATTAGAAACCTGCACAGCCAACGCCTAGCTAACAAGCTGAGTAGAAACTAAACATCGTATGCCCACCAAGCAGAACTTACCGACATTAAACATCTTTATTAACGCGTTAAGCCCATACCGTACTTCGACACAGGGGCAAACGAAACAGGCAAATGGACTCCACTTATAGTCAATCGAGTGTCCTCCCCGAGGTCAGGTTTCACTGCTCATCGAACTACTGTAAGCCTATCTAATCCATAGTCGAATGTGGCTACCACCTTATATTCTACAGGTAACACATGTAGTAATAACTCCTGCTTTATTAAGGGTTTACACTAGGGCGACATACTGTTCTGCAGCGTGCAGAGCAATTGGGTCGCGCGTTAGTTTGACCCATTGCAAACACACACACTCTGTGTGTGTGGCGTGTCAAAGCTTCCGATACCTTAGTGGAGGTACTGAGTACTTTAGTGAATGGTAGTCAGTAGGCGCCTCGTGGCGTGTTTAACCTCACTAATGTCAGTGTGTATATTTGCTGCCTTGACGAAGGTCAAGAAGAAGCGGGAGACAAAACAAAGATATCTTTAGTTCAATGTTGAGCTAGTCACTGGAGATGGTACGAGAACATTTATTTGACGAGGAATCACCAACGAACGCCGAAGAACGATCGCGGTCGCTGCAAAAAATGACGCTCTTGGTGTGGTGGATTTGGATGCACATGGATGACGACGACGATACCGGTATCGGAACGTCTATCGCGGGCACAATGAGGTTATATCGAGGTCAGCTCACAATGAAAGTCACTATCTTACATGTGAATATCTCACGAATCCTCTCCACAGCGCGTGGATGACTCGCCTTTGGAGGTCATTGTTCAATTTTATCGCCCACAACAACCACAACACACACACATCACCATGGCCAAAGGAAACGCGATCAAAGAAGTCGTCACTGCCGATGTGTTTGCCCTAGGCGCTGGATCGATGTCGACGTCGGAAATCAAGTCGTTTGACGAGTACTACAAGGAGTTCAACATAAAGAACGTCTCCAAGGCCACCGCCGCCGACGAGTAAACAACCCGGTGGGCATGCGCGAATATGTAGCCGTCGAACGTGACCATCCCGATTACCGGTAGTATCATATATAGGTTAATATATTTCCATGCGAAAGTCCATCAAGCGAACAACTTATCGAAAAATATCGATCCCAAGCGCATACATCGCCACCATCTCAATCCCACCCAACCAATTCGCGAATTGTAATCCACCTTACAGCATTGATCCAAGCGGTAGGTGCGATTCGACGCTGTCCAACATCAACATCACTTCTGGATTGTCCATCCCTTCCCACGTCCTTTTCCTTTCGGCGCCATTCTGACAGTGATTTTCAAATGCCAGAATTGTGTCGTCCATCAATCTCGGCACAAACTCTAGCCAATACGAAGTCCCAAAAAAGTGAAAACTATGACAATTTCAAAGCACTAGCAAGACAGCACGGGCAATAATATTCGACTTTAATACGGATAATTTTAAGTCAGAAGGGGTTCAAATATACTTTGTGACAGTTTCTGAAGTCCCCCAGTGATGTACTTTGAAATTTTTAAATGTCTACATCAGCCGGTGGGGACGCTCTTAATGGGATGAAAATATTTACCTTGATTTGGGACGATAAACATCGTCAAACCAGCACTATACGGACACGATAAACATCGTCGAATTTCGCCGGACGTCCTGGAGATTCAACATTATGGACAAGGGTGAACCTCATGTCATAGTTTACCAACTTTCAAATCGACGAGTCGAAATAATAACTACCTTATCAACCTATTACACGTAAAGCGCCAACTATGACGAATGTGCCAATTTAGGTCGTATGGGAATGCTCCAATCATACATCGTATTTTGAATATGCACCAATCATAGAATGAACCTCTGAATTTCTGTTCACAAATGTCAATGTTGCTTACAAAAAGGAAGGTTAAAATATACAACTTGAATTGGTACTCAAAATTGTAGAGGTTCCGAGTCTAAAACGGTTTCCAAGGACTCTAAGCCTTGTCTAAGAGTATAAGACCCTAATCATGGAGTGTTCACCAGAGAAGTCTCCACCTTTAGGACTTTTTAGAATTCGAAAATGATGAAGCAGGACGGAGATATGCCCATTTATCAAAATCAAATGATAGTTCAATGCCATAAATTGGTATTATATGTTGTTACACATTTGGTCAATAATAAGGTGATTCATGTAATTCCCGGCCAGCTTGGCCTACTTTCTGAGAGCCATAACTCGTCACCCATTCATCCAATGAGGCTGCGAAAACATGCATTTTGAAGATCGTGACGAGCATTATAACTTTATGCAGGTCCCATCATTTGTATCGCATGGTCAATTTGCTCGTCGAATTTCTAAAATTGAAATTTCCCTGTGTGAATTTAATTCCCGGCCAGTAAGTCACTTGAATAATGTATACCTGATTTGGGTGACAAAATCCTCAGAACCTCTTAATAATGATATGTATAAAGTATTCAAGTAATTAAATTTAGAAGTGCAACTAATATAAAAACTGTATTACATGTTGGACAGGCTGAATATTAAATTTTACAAGTATGTGATACAAGAGTACGTAATTTTGTCCTATCATCGTCCATGGATGATTGTGATTGGCCATTTGCTGGCCGGGAATTACATGAATCACCTTATGTAGTATCCGACTTATCGTTGATTAACGTTGGTTTTGCATAATTGTACTTTTAGAGAAGCATTGATTAACGTGCTAAGACTGTAAAACAAGGGGAAAAACAGGTGAGAGCACAATAACACGTTGCTCGGAAATCCGTGACTTTACCGAACCGTTCTTGCCCAACGCTGCTTGCTAAGCCAGACTGGTGAATGAATATGAATGAGTACGACATTGTCTTGTCAGATAAACGACAGAAATACATTATATCTTCTGTACAACCGCTTTCTAAATGATTTGATTGTGTGTGGACAACTGAGGCATGTACAGACGACGACGGATTTTAAGGGGCACGTGATACAATGGAAATTGGCATGAAGTCGAAACATGATTGGCTTAAAACTTCGAAATACGAAATATCACTTTTTATCAGAAATTGAATTTACATTTTCCAAAGCTACTCCTGTAGTCCTGTAGTATAAGAGAAAACTATTTTAGCCAACCACACAGCAGGAGCTTCATTTTCGCAGTTTTGAACAACGATTATTTTATATTAATTGGTTTGATGGCTCAAGTTTTTCGTAACTGTTGACGCTGCGGCGCAGTGGTTAGTGTCTTGGATGGCAAAGCGTGTGACCAGGATCAAATTCCAGATTAGCCGTACATTTTTACGATTTTATATAAGGAACCCGAGGTACAAACACGCAGAATACATACTTCGTACAAAAATACATAGAATGTGATGACGTGAGCCCACGCATTGATGTAACATTGCACAATGGCTAGACGATTGATCTGACTTTGTTCAGGCGTTGTTGCAGAAGCGACTTTGCTGACAGTCGCTCCTGCAACAAGGCCTAAACAAGTCACGCTCCGCTTCGGTTGCTTCGTGGTAGCACCTCAAGAGTCTCGGACTCGCCCACAGTGCCATAGTCTCATGAGGTCGACCCAGGTGGGCGAGTCCGACACTCGTGAGGGCTATTACCTGGACAAAGGAAGTCTCTACACTGTAGGCAAAGGCAATAAACCAAACCTCCAATTATCGAGCGGCATCGCTCTGTTGAAGGCCGAGTTCCTTCTCAATTCCATTGCCCTGAGACTCGTCGAAGCATTCCGTCTTGACTCGGGTTTTAGCTTACTCCGCTCCCAGGCTGTCCGGCAACGAAGCCAGCTACAACCCGAGTCGACATGCACAACGACGAAACAACTGTTTGACTGGTCGTCACCGGCGACCAGTCGTCTGTAGACCCTCCCCAAGACCAAACCTTTCTTGGTCTTCACACCTCTTTTGTAAAAAGAAGCCAGGGAACCCACCACCGTGCAAGTCGAAGCCGTCGCCACCAGTCAAGCGGCATTTGGCTAATCTGAAATGACACGTCGAATATAATCATCAACCCGACATTTAAAATGTTTTCACTCGTATCAGTTTTGTAGCCAATCATTGTCGTGAAATTAATACTTCGAAGTACTTCGAAGTATTACTCAAATGTTGTCAAAACTTCGGTGTTCCTTAAAATCCGTTGTCGTCCGCATAGCAATCACCAGAATGATAAACTTTTGAACAGTACTATTTTGTGGTAATGTAAAGTGCCGGTGGATGAAATCATTGAGTTCATTCCTTTCGCGTCATTTTTACAACTCACGTTATATGCGAGCATAATCAGGTAAAGTAGTACAATTCTCTCTTTAACTATAAAACAGTTCCACTGTTGTTTTGACCCGAAATACTGTTTCAATGAGGGAATTATTACATCTCTGCTCCAGTAGCCCTGAAACCTTGGACTCCATCCTACCCCCGGTGAGTACATACGATGCTAATTATCCGGGGTTAACTGCATCGCTAACCACTGAGATGCACTTAACCCCTAGTAAGAAGTGAGGTGGTCTGAGCATACAAAGTTCCATATAAATCTCATTGAAACAGTATTTCGGGTCAAAACAACAGTGGAACTGTTTTAATGAGGGAATTATTCGGTAAAGCAGGCTGGATTTGAGCCTAAGCTCATACCGAAAAGGAAATTTCCGTCCGCTCATGAAATAGGCAACCATGAAGGGTCGACGAGATCTAGGTATTCAGCCCAATTATATAGTGTATACGTAGTCTACAGACTGTCAATCAATTTATAAATCATTGGAAGTACGATAATACAGGAGTTGGGTACAGTGCTAACATTAGTGCGCTTCAAGCAAAACTGTACTGCACCTTGTTAACATGTAGATGTATGTTCAATTCCCTCATTAAACCACTAGTACTGCATATTTTCTCAGAAAACACCTGTAATATGTGAGTACATGAGTAAACCTTCGGGTAATCGCCAATATGTGAGTATATCAGCAAACCGTCGGGTAATCGCCAATATGTGAGTATATCAT